CTCACACACCCAGAGCAGAGTTTACAGACACAAATAAAAGTCAGGCTGGGGAAAATGAAGGAAATCCAATGCAATATATTTGTATTCTGTCACTGAGGCACTGTCTAATGTTGCCGTAACTATGATGTATAGGTCTATCAAAGCATGTGTTACCATGGTCTGAATTTCCCAACTGGAGAAAAATGATTAATGTAGAGATTTGCATTAGATGTGGTCTTGGACATCAATATTTCAGCTTAGGTAAACAGGAGCTTTACGTAATTTATTGGCTCTCATTATGGATGGCTTGTAGAAGCCAAATTCCCCCTCTGCCTCCAAAATGACCTTTCATGCTCTACAAATCAATCTAGAAGAAGTGAAGCAAGTTGGTTCATATTTTAGAAAGAAAAAAAATGACTTCACATGTCAGGGGCTTAATTGTTGTGATTGTGACCCATTTGGAAATTAGTTAACATTTGCTTCAGGCCTCTGACTTCATGCATTATTTATTTTCATCTTGGCATTGCTTCAGTCTCTTCATGTACAATATGCTTATAACGTGAGAATCTTTTCCTAAATATTGCACTTAAACAATAGCAGTATGAATCTGAAAATTTAAAGCCCAAAGTGTATTCTCCACACACATCGATATTATTTCAGGCCACACTGCTTTGGGGTACATTTTAGCTCTCCTTGGCAAAGTTTCTAGATGTTACAGCCAGCATTACAGAGCAATTTCCTTGTAAGAGTTTTATGTTGCAAAGTGTGTCAGAAGTTAATCAAAGGGTAACAATGCAAAAGTCTGTGCATATGGCTTCCTGGAGACTGGGGCCAGCCCACGCTGTCAGTCACTGTCAAAACTGTATCACACAGGGGCGTATAGTACCTTTTTCTCTCCTGTGAGAAAATGTTTCTGACCACAAAGGTCACTGCCTTTATGGAATAAATCTATTAGCCTATTGTTGTGGTATGAATCCCAAGGAGAAGGCATCTCATCAGCTGTCTGGCTCAGATGCATGGTCTCTGCAGCTTCTTGCAGTACAGGGTCAAGCCCTGCAGCTTGCCTCTGACTGTCAGCATCAGCGTAGGCCCTTCGTACCATAACCTCTGCATCCTGGTGAATAATCACTTATGCCTGGCCTTGAAAATGACTATCCCATTACTTGTTCCATGTAATCATGGGAGAAGAGTGCTTTTGGAATCATTACACAGGCTACACCTTCCAACCAGCCTGGGCGTCCTCAGAGCTTAGATGGGGAAATGTAATCTGTAAGAATGTTCCATCACGCCAGTGCTATAAGAGGAGGGTTATTTCGAAGCTGCTTACAGAAGAAAGGCTTAGAGACTCTTACGTATTTCTGAAATGGATACCACCTTCTAATCACCTATTTTTTGTTGTTGTTCTTGACACCCTTTTGAAGTTGAACAAAAACCAGTGTATAGATGAGGCCTGACAGCTGTTTCCCAGATGCACAGAAATAACCGTTGCAGCTGTCTAAAACTAGGCCATTTGCATTTGCATCAGTTTGGATTAAATCTTTCATTAATTTGGGTCATCATTTATGTACAAAGCTCATAGAACACAGAATATGCATGTCCAATGTAGCCTTTTAAAAAAATCTTCAAGCACAAGCATAGAAATTCCAGGGATTCTATTCACTGGGTAAAATGCAGACTTGCTGAAGGTGATTTTTATTGCACAGACATTAACTAAAAATCTGCTACATTCACAACACAGTTTTCCTGTATGCTAAAAATCTACTCTTTTTTCCAACTTTATTGTAATCTTCTCCATGAAGCTGTCTTCAGTTCCTGAAGTTGGAATTAATTGATATCATCCCTCAGGGGATTTGTAACCAGACTCATGGAGGCTGGAGTTTGAAGCTCTGTTTTCCTAGTAATGCTCACTGAAGTAAATGCTGAACACATGCTAATAGTATCTGAATGCCAATAAGAAGCAAGGAAGCTAGAAAACCATGCAGGCAGGCACATTTGTACTAACTCAAAATAGATAGTTTTGATAAAAATATTTATATAATAGTGTATAATTCAGAAGCACTTTCACTTTTTCTTTTTATGGTGTTGGGAGATGGAGTCCTGCTTAGTCACCCAGGCTGGAGTGCAGTGGCATGATCTCGGCTCACTGCAACCACCATCTCCCGGATTCAAGCAATTCTCCCATCTCAACCTCCTGAGTAGCTGATATTACAGGCATCCACCATCATGCCTAGATAATTTTGGTATTTTAGTAGAGGTGAAGTTTCCCCATGATGGCCAGGCTGGCCTTGAACTCCTGACCTTAGGTGATCCTCCTGCCTTGGCCTCCCAAAGTACTAAGATTACAGGTGTGAGCTACTGCTCCCAGCCTCCTCTTAAAAGTAAGTTCCAGTTTTACATCATTCCTTTGCTCATGCATATGAAATAGGCAATTAGAAGCAGCTAGGACAAAAATGGAATGCTTTGCTGCTTGGGCATTTTTTTCCACCAGATACCCCAAATCTGTAGTCCCCAGGCTTTTGGCACCAGGTACTGGTTTTGTGAATAACAATTTTTCCATGTACTGGGGGTAGGTGATTCAAGCACATTATGTTTATTGTGTACTTTATTTCCATTGTTATTACAAGATACAATGAAATAATTATACAACTTACCATAACGTAGAATCAGTGGGATCCCTGAACTTATTTTCTTGCAGCTAGATAGTCCCATCCATGGGCAATGGGAGACAGTGACAGATCATCAGGCATTAGATTCTCATAAGGAACACACAACCTAGATCCCTCATAGGCACAGCTCACAATAGGGTTCATGCTCCTGTCAGAATTGAATGCCACTGCTGATCTGACAGGAGGCCCAGCTCAGGCAGTAATGTGAAGAATGGGAAGTGGCTGTAAATACAGGTAAAGCTTCACTTGCTTGCCTGCTGCTTACCTCCTACTGTGTAGCCTGTTTCTTAACAGGCCACAGACTGATACTTATCTGTGGCTCATTGTTCGGGGACTCATGCTCTACATTATTACTCTCAGGTTCCAAGTTTCACAGATCCGTAGAGCCCGGGCATAATCGAATGAAGCTCTTTGCCAAATGTGACCTTTGCTCTAGTTCCCAATAAGTTTCTCATCTCCATCTGAGACCTCCTTAGCCTGGCCTTCACTGACTATTAACATTATGATTACAACCATTCAACAAATCTCTAGAAGTTCCAAAATTTCCCTCATCTTCCTGTCACCTTCTGAGTCCTCTATGCTCTTCCAGCCTCTGCCCATTACCCTATTCCAAAGCTGCTTCCACATTTGTAGGTATCTTTACAGCAATATCCAACTCCTGGTACCAATTTCTGTATTAGTTTATTCTCCCACTGCTATAAAGTAATATGGAAGATTGGGTAATTTATAAAGAAAGGAGGTTTAATTGGCTCACAGTTCTGTAGGCTGTGTAGGAATCATGGCAGCATCAGCTTCAGGGAGGCCTCAGGGAACTTATAATAGTGACAGAGGCAAAGGAGGAGACATCACTTCACATTGTCAGAGTGGGTGGAAGAGGGAGAGCGGGGAGGTGCCACACACTTTAAAACAACCAGATTTCATGAGCACTTACTATCACAATAAAGGGGTGGATAGTGTTAAACCATAAGAAACCAGCCACATGATCTAAATGCCTCCTGCCAAGCCCCACCTCCAGCACTGGGGATTATATTACAGCATGAGATTTAGGTAGGAACACAGAACTTCAAACCATATCAGATGAATAATAAAATGATATCATTAAGGCTGCTTTTTGATTACATGTATATGTGAATTGGGACCTGGAAAAGAAATTAGATGATTAATTTAATAAATTCAGGACTCACCATCAAACATACCGATTAGTGATCAAAATTTTTTGTTAGGATTATTACATTAGGGTATTGAGGAAAAGCCAACTTAGATGGATCACAACTGAAATAATGTCCTTTGCAAATCCAAGAATCCCCTTTCTCTTTCTAGTGGAAGTTTCTTTGCCAATTTTTCTTTTCATATGATCCTAATGAAGATTGATTTCTAATAGTACTGTCTCATATGTCTTAGAACTAGCAAAGCATAAAATGTCTTCTTTGAACTGTTAAATAAAATATGGAAAAGCATTGATACTGAAGACAGAAATGTAATGTTAGGTGTGTATGTGTTTGAATAAAAATGTTTGCCCTGACAATTAAAACACATATAAAAGAAGATTTTTTACTTTGACCTTTATCAATGTGAATTTCTACCTTAATGTCTGACATTCTTGGGATATTAAAATGAAATGGTCATATTAAAGCATAGTAGTTAAAATAATTTGAAGGTATAGAGTTCTAGCATCTAGAGGAATCACATCTTAGAGGGTTTTGGTGGAAATTAGTTATACTCTTAATTATTTTATAAATAATAAAAAGCTCTTAAATCATAGTTAATTTTGCATAAAGAAAAACCTTCTCCATTATAATTTTTGAAATATGTAAGTTTTAAAACATCAGAATGTTTTCAGTATTCCTTCATGCTTATGCGCAAGTATATGATTACAGATTTAGGATTAGACTCATTGCTTTCATGCCAGCATGAATTTCAGTTGCTTATTAACATGTGGGTTATCACTTTGGAGAAGTCAGATCATAGAAGATCACACACATGTTACACTTGCTATCTCACAGGCATTCTGTAATTAGACTGGATTCATTTGCAAGACTAAAGAGCTAAAGAGCTAAGGTACTGCTGTGGCTCTTTTATTAAGAAAATTGAAGTTAGAGATTAAATGACTCTTGCTTCATTTTGCCAGGTAATTTCTGAAGGCTAGATTGAGTGTGGGTCTGAATTCCATAGGGGTCGTTTGAGTCACTTTATCAGAACATGAGTTTTTCTTATTGCCTTTTTGTTATTTTTCTGAAATACAAAGAGGGATTCTATTATTTGAATGGAAAAAAAAAACCATACTGCATGCTTTATATTACATATCTTTCTATGTTATGTCCTATTTATCATGCTCCTATATTTCCCCTTTCCTAGATGAGTTAACGTTTTCACTGGACCGATTGGACTGAAATGGCAAGACTGAATGAGGTAAGTCATTTGGGAGGCTGCTGTGAAAACACACTTATTCAGCGATCCTGTGGTGAACATATATCTAACCAACCTGGCTTCCTCGTATGGTCAGGTTGCACCTCTTTTGGTTGGATTCTTGCAAAGATCTGAGTTTAATATAGCAAACATGCAGGTGGGTAAAGCAATTCTTATTTGATCCTTTGGCCTCAAATTAGTGAAGTGTGGCTTGCCTCTATGTACAGAAAGTATATGGACAATTCTTTTGCATTGGTTGGGATGCTGTTGAGTAAAGGTGAGGTTGTGAGAAAAGATAGCTAGACTGGAATTACCACTCAGGAATTTGTCTGCTGGCTTGAGAGGAAACTTCAGGGGCTGTGATATAGTAAGACTCTACTCATTTTGGGGGACAGGTGTTGCGTAATTCTTTTCAGCAAGCTGAATAGAAACAGTTTAGATACAACACACGCTTTGAAACTGATTCGGCATCAGGGCAAGTGAGAATGGATTGGTCAGGGCCCGAATAAGGTGTGGCTCTAGTGAGTGTTGACTTCTCTGGTACAATCTGAATTCCCAGAAGACCTTTTAGGTAGTGGCTTCTCAGTCTTATTGTTTCTGGTTTTTAAATTGCTTTCCTAGAGTAAACTAAATGACTTTTCTTTGAAGCAAGAAAATGTGTAAGTAAAGTCTTAAAATTATGTATGCCTGTTAATCTACTTATTCAATGTAGAGATACTTATTTAAGGAAATAATTGAAAACAAATTCTAAAATTTATATGCAATAGTTTTCCTGTGGAACTATACAAAATAGTAAAACCTTGGGAAGAAAGCCCACTACCTAATAATTTGGAGTTTGTTAAATAAATAATGGCATATTTATTGGTCCATATAGTGGAATATTGTATATCTGATAAAAGTTACAGTTGTGAAAAAAATGTTTAATGGCAATAGAAAATATAGAGTCAAGATAATCAAGTAAGAACGTAGCATTCAGAATTCTCTATATTGGGGCATGTTGTCAATTTATACCCAGACATTAGATGGGGAGAAAATACAATTTGTTCTCAGAGTTGTATTCTGTAAGATACTTTTTCTTAGACAGTAATGCCAATCCCATAGGAATGTTGTTTACATTTTATAAGTTGATGTGTTAAAATTAATAAACCCCTGTTATGCCCAATAAATATTCATTCTGCTCATTTCTTATCCTTCTGTCTTTACTGAACATGATTTTCTCAAGTAAACATTACCTCCCATTTAATCCTCCAAAGGCAAGCCCATCTCATACTGGATTCACATCTGCTTGCCCATGCTTTGTGCTACTTAGAAAACCTTTTCAATATTTTTCAACTTTCATGCCGACACTTCTTCTTTAGGGGTCTATCATTTCTTTTTTTTTTTTTTTTAATTTTTTATTGGATTATAGGTTTTGGGGTACATGAGCAGAGCATGCAAGACAGTTGCGTAGGTACACACATGGCAGTGTGCTTTGCTTTTCTTCTCCCATTCACCCACATTTGGCATTTCTCCCCAGGCTATCCCTCCCCACCTCCCCCTCCCACTGGCCCTCCCCTTTTCCCCCCAATAGACCCCAGTGTTTAGTACTCCCCTTTCTGTGTCCATGTGTTCTCATTTTTCATCACCCACCTATGAGTGAGAATATGCGGTGTTTCATTTTCTGTTCTTGTGTCAGTTTGCTGAGGATGATGTTTTCCAGATTCATCCATGTCCCTACAAACGACACGAACTCATCATTTCTGATTGCTGCATAATATTCCATGGTGTATATGTGCCACATTTTTCCAATCCAGTCTATTATCAATGGGCATTTGGGTTGATTCCAGGTCTTTGCTATTGTAAACAGTGCTGCAATGAACATTCGTGTACATGTGTCCTTATAGTAGAACGATTTATAGTCTTTTGGATATATACCCAGTAATGGGATTGCTGGGTCAAATGGAATTTCTATTTCTAAGGCCTTGAGGAATCGCCACACTGTCTTCCACAATGGTTGAACTAATTTACACTCCCACCAACAGTGTAAAAGTGTTCCTTTTTCTCCACATCCTCTCCAGCATCTGTTGTCTCCAGATTTTTTAATGATCGCCATTCTAACTGGCGTGAGATGGTATCTCAATGTGGTTTTGATTTGCATCTCTCTGATGACCAGTGACGATGAGCATTTTTTCATATGATTGTTGGCCTCATATATGTCTTCTTTCGTAAAGTATCTGTTCATATCCTTTGCCCACTTTTGAATGGGCTTGTTTGTTTTTTTCCTGTAAATCTGCTTGAGTTGTTTGTAAATTCTGGAAATCAGCCCTTTGTCAGATGGGTAGACTGCGAAAATTTTTTCCCATTCTGTTGGTTGCCGATCCACTCTAGTGACTGTTTCTTTTGCCGTGCAGAAGCTGTGGAGTTTCATTAGGTCCCATTTGTCTATTTTGGCTTTTGTTGCCAATGCTCTTGGTGTTTTGTTCATGAAGTCCTTGCCTACTCCTATGTCCTGGATAGTTTTGCCTAGATTTCCTTCTAAGGTTTTTATGGTGCCAGGTCTTATGTTTAAGTCTTTAATCCATCTGGAGTTAATTTTAGTGTAAGGTGTCAGGAAGGGGTCCAGTTTCTGCTTTCTGCACATGGCTAGCCAGTTTTCCCAACACCATTTGTTAAACATGGAATCCTTGCCCCATTCCTTGTTTTTGTCAGGTTTATCAAAGATTGTATAGTTGTATGTATGTTGTGTTGCCTCCAGTGCCTCTGTTTTGTTCCATTGGTCTATATCTCTGTTTTGGTACCAGTACCATGCTGTTTTGATTACTGTAGCCTTGTAGTATAGTTTGAAATCCGGTAGTGTGATGCCCCCCGCTGTGTTCTTTTTGCTTAGAATTGACTTGGCTATGCGGGCTCTCTTTTGGTTCCATATGAAGTTCATGGTGGTTTTTTCCAGTTCTGTGAAGAAAGTCAATGGTAGCTTGATGGGGATAGCGTTGATTCTATAAATTACTTTGGGCAGTATAGCCATTTTCACGATATTAATTCTTCCTAACCATGAACATGGAATGTTTCTCCATCTGTTTGTGTCCTCTCTGATTTCGTTGAGCAGTGGTTTGTAGTTCTCCTTGAAGAGGTCCCTTACGTTCCTTGTGAGTTGTATTCCAAGGTATTTTATTCTTTTTGTAGCAATTGCGAATGGCAGTTCGCTCTTGATTTGGCTTTCTTTAAGTCTGTTATTGGTGTAGACGAATGCTTGTGATTTTTGCACATTGATTTTATATCCTGAGACTTTGCTGAAGTTGTTTATCAGTTTCAGGAGTTTTTGGGCTGAGGCGATGGGGTCTTCTAGGTATACTATCATGTCGTCTGCAAATAGAGACAATTTGGCTTCCACCTTTCCTATTTGAATACCCTTTATTTCTTTTTCTTGCCTGATTGCTCTGGCTAGAACTTCCAGTACTATATTGAATAGGAGTGGTGAGAGAGGGCATCCTTGTCTAGTACCAGATTTCAAAGGGAATGCTTCCAGTTTTTGCCCATTCAGTATGATATTGGCTGTTGGTTTGTCATAAATAGCTTTTATTACTTTGAGATACGTTCCATCGATACCGAGTTTATTGAGGGTTTTTAGCATAAAGGGCTGTTGAATTTTGTCAAATGCCTTCTCTGCGTCAATTGAGATAATCATGTGGTTTTTGTTTTTGGTTCTGTTTATGTGGTGAATTACGTTGATAGACTTGCGTATGTTGAACCAGCCTTGCATCCCTGGGATGAATCCTACTTGATCATGATGAATAAGTTTTTTGATTTGCTGTTGCAATCGGCTTGCCAATATTTTATTGAAGATTTTTGCATCTATGTTCATCATGGATATTGGCCTGAAGTTTTCTTTTCTCGTTGGGTCTCTGCCGGGTTTTGGTATCAGGATGATGTTGGTCTCATAAAATGATTTGGGAAGGATTCCCTCTTTTTGGATTGTTTGAAATAGTTTTAGAAGGAATGGTACCAGCTCCTCCTTGTGTGTCTGGTAGAATTCGGCTGTGAACCCATCTGGACCTGGGCTTTTTTTGTGAGGTAGGCTCTTAATTGCTGCCTCAACTTCAGACCTTGTTATTGGTCTATTCATAGTTTCAGCTTCCTCCTGGTTTAGGCTTGGGAGGACACAGGAGTCCAGGAATTTATCCATTTCTTCCAGGTTTACTAGTTTATGTGCATAGAGTTGTTTGTAATATTCTCTGATGATGGTTTGAATTTCTGTGGAATCTGTGGTGATTTCCCCTTTATCATTTTTTATTGCATCTATTTGGCTGTTCTCTCTTTTATTTTTAATCAATCTGGCTAGTGGTCTGTCTATTTTGTTGATCTTTTCAAAAAACCAGCTCTTGGATTTATTGATTTTTTGAAGGGTTTTTCGTGTCTCAATCTCCTTCAGCTCAGCTCTGATCTTAGTAATTTCTTGTCTTCTGCTGGGTTTTGAGTTTTTTTGATCTTGCTCCTCTAGCTCTTTCAATTTTGACGATAGGGTGTCAATTTTGGATCTCTCCATTCTCCTCATATGGGCACTTATTGCTATATACTTTCCTCTAGAGACTGCTTTAAATGTGTCCCAGAGGTTCTGGCACGTTGTGTCTTCATTCTCATTGGTTTCGAAGAACTTCTTTATTTCTGCCTTCATTTCGTTGTTTACCCAGTCAACATTCAAGAGGCAGTTGTTCAGTTTCCATGAAGCTGTGCAGTTCTGGGTCGGTTTCTGAATTCTGAGTTCTAACTTGATTGCACTATGGTCTGAGAGGCTGTTTGTTATGATTTCAGTTGTTTTGCATTTGTTGAGCAGTGCTTTACTTCCAATTATGTGGTCAATTTTAGAGTAGGTGTGATGTGGTGCTGAGAAGAATGTGTATTCTGTGGATTTGGGGTGGAGAGTTCTGTAAATGTCCACCAGGTTTGCTTGCTCCAGGTCTGAGTTCAAGCCCTGGGTATCCTTGTTGATTTTCTGTCTGGTTGATCTGTCTAGTATTGACAGTGGA